GGCTGCTGGGGCTCCAGGTCACTGACTTGACCCCCAGAGACCACTCATAGGCACTGTAGGTTGACAGCAACCGGCCGTCCAGAGAATACAGCAACACCTTGTACTGTGGAGAGGAAAACACACAATATTACTTTCAATGTATCTCCCCACCTGCCCCAATAGACTTTGACAATAAAGAGCCCTATAATATGATTGCTTAAAAAATAAAAAACATACACTTATATTACAGTTCTTGTAACCTTTTGATAGGATTTTAAAATGTGTCAAAAGTTATTTTCTGTACTCAATTGCAGAACATCTTCAACCGAGGTCAGCTTTATCAATAGATTTACTCTGTAGTCTGTATTTCGGAGATTTAGGGAGTCTTGTATAATGACGTATTTCATTAAACCATTCTCTTTATACAGATTATGTTTTACTTACTTTATAGTTTCTCATGTCTCCTGCTCTAGTGGGAATTTTCTCAGCAACTTCTCACCCTATTTTAGTATCTATGATTATAGACACTTATTTATGATACATATATCATGTGAAACGTAATAAGAAGGCCTGGATAGTCAAACTATAATCTACTTTAATGGAGGGCCTTGAGTGTGTTCATGTTTGTATATTTTTCCGCGGTTTCGACTCTCAATGGACTGTTTTCAGCCAGCTGCTTCAGATTGTTTATGTGAAACATTAAGTACATGCTCAAAATATCTAGCAGGGAAGTTCATCTTTTATATTCTCTTGTGAAATCTTAGGTGTTTAAAGCAAACAGCTCACCTCCAGACAGCTATCCCACACTGCCAGCACACAGCCATTGGGAGACCACTCCAACCCTGCCAGGTCCTGAGTCTCAGTCTCAAAATGCTGTGACAGTCAAGGTATATCAAATTCATTTACACACACAACTGCATGTACCACATCAAATTTGAAATAATTAATATGCAGAGTTTACTTTAATGTCTATCATGTTTAAGATCAGCCTCTTGTGTACGTTGGTCAAACAAAGCCATTCAAATACAGCTCCAAAAATCCTTTTTTAGATGCTTTACAAAGTAATATACAGTCACAGGAGGATACTGCATGTCTTTTAAGTCACCTACATTTAGATTTATTTGACTGATGCTTACTTAGATTACTCAAATTTCAAATGTATAATCCTGGTCATAAAATATACAATTTGAATGTGCTGCTTACCCTGAGTAAATGCCAGTCGTCACACACGAATACGCTGACAAAGTCTTTGCAGTCACGGCGTTCAGCCAAGGCCATGTAGCAGCCATCTCTGCTGAAATCAATACCTTAGGGTCAAAGATGATGGGAGAACGCCCGCATTAAACCAGTTATAAAAACACAAGTATAATAAGATCTTCCAATGTCACCACAACTGACAAGTTTAACTCAAAAACACAGTATGTTAAAAACACACACCAATTAGAAATCAACCTAGAAAGAAATGTAGTTTCACTCTTACACTGTACAAGCTAGTCAAGTACAATTCTATAACGGACGTATAAAACAATCATTCCGGTTTTAACATTTTATCTGTGCTGACTTTATTCAACACTCAGAGGTTAAGAAACAGCAGCAGCAAGGAACAATGACACAATACAAATGAATAAAGTAATAATAAAACTGTCTGTTGACTTGAAAGCCAGTTATCTACTCTGATAACTGAAAAGGTAACCTCATAGCTCCATGTTTATTTTAGTCAATGTTATAAATGAGACACTCTGGCATCATCAGGACGATAGAACATTACCCTGGTGCTCGTATAATTTAAATGAGGGTTAGAGGATACATGGGTTGCAGAGGGACTTGCATGCAGAAAAACGGGGAGAGTCACGGACAATCATTATTCCTCAAGCTGCTGACAGGCCTGTTATGAAGAGCATGCCCCATTTACTGAGGAGGAGCACAGCTGTCAGCAGAGAGGACCAGAATGTGGCCTCCTATCCAGGGTCGCGCCACAAGGTAAAGGACGGCACGTGATTCATGGGGCATGCTGAGACACTCTGAGCACTGGCCCTGCCCTCAGGTACTCCTGGTAATGAATATACACTCATAAGCCATGAGAAAATAAATACAACAATATCATTCTCATACTGACCCTTCTGGCATGCTTTGGGATACTTGATGTAAGACACAGCTTTGGTGCAGAGGGACCAGACGGTGACTCTCAGCTGTCAAGGCACCAGAGGAAAAAGGGAAAAAGCACTGTGGGTTACTTCGCAAGTGAAAGTATGACAAACACATCATGCTGTCCAGCGGCACAAAGAGCATAAATACATTGACGAGTGAAATTATATATACATTGATGATTGAGAGTTTAGAAAAATCCTAATAACAATATATAAGCTTATATTAGCATTGTAATATACACACATAAACATCAAACATGGATCCTTCAACTGTAGTTATTAAAGAATTGTGAAAAATTAGTGCACAATAAGTGGGACAATTGTCAAGTTTAAAAATAACATTTCACTGCTCTCTAGTGGATAATCTGAGGATATTTAGAAACAAACTGGCATTATACAAACATGTGTTTGGGATTTTTATCTTTCATTTCTTGTTACTTTCCAGTCGGAGGGCCTTGTGTCTTTGAAGAGGTCTACTGTACCTCTCTGTGAGGGCAATGAATGAGACACTGACATGGAACCCAACCACCGTTAGATGGATGGCCCTGTAGAGAACCCATATGATAAAGGTTTACAGTCACCGAGAGGAATTTAAGGATACTATAGGGCCCCCTTTTAAATTAGGACTATAGCACTCATCAAACTAACAGATCCAAAACAACATCTTGACATTAGTGGGAAATAACGACCAGTCCATTGATGTAATGCTAGACAAGTGTGACAAATTAATAACTAGTTGCATATCCAGCAGGTTGTGTACATTCCCTCCAATGAAAGCAGTGCCAAAGGATAACTATTTGGCTACAAGTCGGCATAACAAAGAGGCAACATGTGGTAATGCTCTGTTTTGAAAGTAGTACTCAAATATCCACCAGTCTCCCTTCAATAGGATTGATGCCAACACAAGCTGTTGGCACTCAGCCATAAGTACAGCATATTTTAACTCAAGGACCGGTATGATGTGTGGTATCTTGCCCTTCAGAAACAAGGAGCACATGACAGCCTTTGAGACACTGCTAGAGAAACTGTGGTCTGTGTACAGCTGCCTTGGTGTTAAGGTGTTCACAGAGAAAGCTGCAGTCCCACAGTGTCAACATAAACAGGAGAGTGCCAGTCCATAATTGTTTCATTTACATACACATGCATGGCGAAGAATAGACATCCACATTCATTTTCTTCATTTACACTTCGGTGTGACAATTTGTAGTTTGACATACCTGTAGAGTTTAATAGTGAAGTGTTTTGTCCTAATGCTACAAAACAAAGATTTGTTTTGTCCAATTGTTAAACACAACCTAGTCATAACAAATAATCCAAAAATGAAGGCCATGCAAGCACAACACTGCAACATTAAGGGTGCTAGATGGATGGCACTCACGCTTTCCCTTAGAGCAGGGGTGTCAAACTCAATTTCATCGTGGGCCACATTAGCATTATGGTTGCACGCGCATGTGCACTAGCAAAGAAGACTAAACGCATCGCTTTTACAGGGAAAACAAGTAAAGTCGCCTTGACAGAAATGACAAAGTAGGGGTTAAACAAAAAGTGAAAATGAAAATGTGATTCATTATTTTTTAAAACAAATGTTGGCACTCGATCACACACACACACTATACGATGCCATTAGGTACTGTGTATTCTTTCGCAATTCAAGCTTGTAACAGAACAATATACAATTTTTGAAATTCTCAGCACAATCACAGTTAGTTGTTAGTTGCACACACATATACATAGATTTTTGGGAATACCCTTAATGCTTTATTTTGCATTTGGGAATGTTCAGAGCTAAAAACCACTGAAGTGGCGAGGCTTTCATCATAGTGTCCAGACAGACATTTGAACTGGGCCCAGTCTGTCACCCAACTTGGCTGAAGTGTCGACCCTCCTGTTTGGTCAGGACGTCCAGCTGTGTGGTATCTGTAATAACACCTCACTGCACGATTCCTGGACATCCCCTCAGACATGGTGCCATGGCAACCAATGTCAACATCACTCAAACACAAACAGACTTGCACTTCTAAGATGCCTTGAACCCAGAACAGTGGGGGTGCCGGGAGACCGAAAAGGCAGTGTAACTTTAAACTGGGTGGAGGGAGGGTAGCATGAAGAAAATAGGTGGGAAATGCTTTTCCATGTGGGGTGGTATGCAACAAGATCCGTAGCTGGTAAAGTTACACTTAAGATGGAGTATCTTCACCAAGGTGAGCTGCAGCTTAGGGATGGGGGTAAGGAAGAGCGTGGCATGGAAAGGCAAAACTCCAATACAACAGCTGCTGGAAAAATGTACGTCTGTGCCGGGGTTAGCATAACTGAAACTGCTGATCAGTCGTTTCAGACAAGTACATTTTATTAGTGCTTCGATCACTGCATGTCCGAGGTCTTCTCACATTCGACCAAATTATGTGGTTGTGAAGGTTTTTGAACATAAAAGATAAATAAAGGGAAATGAGGAGCATATACTGTTTATAAATATATATGACTATAAAACAATCCACATTATGCTCAAAGCCGCAAATCAACAGTTGAGAGGAAACTGCATCTTCAAAAAACCACCCATACGAACAAATTCCAAACTTCATTGCATCACAAGAAAAAGTGTTGATCGGTGGAATAACTAATGATGAACTGAAATACTGTGCAACTTTATCTAAACTAAAACAATTATTTAGAAACCAAATCCTGAATGGTTATGAGCAGGACCTATGAACTCATGCTTGTTATTTCTTGTCGTTGACGGTTTTGGTTTACCTGTAAAGATTATTTGTTTTTGTTTGTTTTGTACAAAGGAATGATTTGTTTAAAACAATGAATCAAATATCACGGATGCTGATGACCGGAACTTTTATTTTCATGAACAATGTATGCCAGAGGGGGTTGGACCAGAAAAGTTGTAAGCTTCTTCTTGCCCCTTTTGAATATGATGGAACCTATTTGATAATTTATTTTTTATTTGTATACCTTGTTTTTTTATTTAGCTTATCTTTGTTATTATCATTATTGTTTGTCTTGTTTTTTAACATGTTCAATAAATTGACTAAATATATATAAGACCTTATTATTTATATATATATATATACACAGTGGGGCAAAAAAGTATTTAGTCAGCCACCCATTGTGCAAGTTCTCCCACTTAAAAAGATGAGAGAGGCCTGTCATTTTCATCCTAGGTATACCTCAACTATGAGAGACAAAATGAGAAAAAAAATCCATAAAATCACATTGTCTGATTTTTAAATAATTTATTCACATCAGACAATGTGATTTTTTTTTCTNCTCTTTTCCTCCATACCCAAATCTCTTAAAAAGGGGCTGCAACGGATCTGATACAGACTGATCCAGATTTGAACACTTCTGTGACGTCACAGAAGTGGCCGCCACTTCTGTGACGTCACAGAAGTGTTCAAATCTGGATCAGTCTGTATCAGATCCGTTGCAGCCCCTTTTTAAGAGATTTGGGTATGGAGGAAAAGAGAGAGGGTTGTGTTTTCTGACACTTGGTGAGTTCCCTGGAACACCGGGGACACATATTCATGTATAAAAGACGTACTAAAGTGCATTTTGCATGATAGGTCACCTTTAATTAATTAATTATTTATTTCGTAAAAAGAATGATACAAGCTTTGAGTAACAATCAAAAAGGTCTTGGTTTCCTTCTCTTCTGCAGCACCTCTACTGATAAGCGGGATTTTGGATCTCCCTTATTGGAGATCGCTGCTTGTGATATTTCCTTAAAGCTGCGATAGTGACTAAACAAACATTTGTTGTACATTGAATTCTTCAACATTATTACTTAAAACAATACTTTATTACCCTCATGTCAGGTGCGCATCCTCAATCATATCACGTGGAAGAAAATCACACAGTTTGAGCATCCAGCAGCCATCAACAACACAAAGGCAGTGAGTATTTTTCCATCCTTCCTGATGAGCCTTGCAGGCCTTGCAGTTTAGTTATTAACTCTTGTTGTGTTTTAAGGTTGTATATAAGGAAGTGGTGAAAAGGCCCGCTGTTTGCAGTGATGACCTATCGCTACACAACATCACAATTGGCAACACCCTCTTCAACACACAGAGCAAATGTATGTCAGCTTTTGGATAAAAAAACATTCTCTCGGCAGTATTTGAGTAAAACGACTGAGTTCAGTAAGCCAACTTTGTTTAATCACAAACTCTCATTTGTTTTGGTCTCCACTCCAGATGAGATCTGCCCAACGCCAGTCCAGCTTCCTGTAGTTAAACCAGACCCAGACCGAGCCAACCCTAAGATTGGCGTCTCCACCTTGGCATTCAGCTCAGACAGTCGCTATCTAGCCACCAAAAACGGTAAGACTTTTCACCCTTATTTTTGACCATCTTTTTATTATATGTAAAGTAGAATGGCACTCTGAGAGCTACACTCGCCTATAGTGCATTCTCATCCTTTCTGAGTTGGGAAGTCGTTCTTCACAAACACCCTGGCAGTTTTACTTTTGAGTTACATGTCTTTTTTTATTTCTTTATGATATGTCGAAATCTGAATCAGAATAGTGAAGTGAAACATAATTTGTGTATCTGCTTTGTAATGTATTGGGTTATTCATTGGCCCATGCTAAAACCTTTCTTTAACCCTGTATAAAAAAATACGGTAGCAAAAACAAGCTCCTTGCCGTAGGTTATAACAGTTTACATTATTTTGATTGTAAACATCGACTTTAGTGTTCATTTATTTGTGATGCAATATTAGCGATTCTTTGCTCTATAAACTGAGAGTGGCTTTGAGTTTGTATCTGTTTCTCTGACCGTAGACAACATGGCCAGTGTTGTCTGGGTGTGGGATGTGCAGAAGATGAGCCTGGTGGCGGTGCTCGAGCAGACAGCGGCCGTGCGCTGCTTTCAGTGGGACCCCCGACGCCCCCGTCTGGCTCTCTGTACAGGCAACACCAAACTCTACCTCTGGTCCCCAGCAGGCTGCGTTTCTGTCCAAGTCCCCACTGAAGGTGAAGTCTTCAAAGAGATCAAAATGTCCAGCAGCTTCAATACAAAGCCTATGATGTTCTCAAATATAGAATAAGCCGGTTACATGAAAAGTCTCCTCCTAATGTCCTGGAACTCATGTTATGTGACATTGGTTTGATCCAAGTGAAATATGTGATGTCTGAATTCAAAAGGCAACGCTAAACAAATCTTTGGTATTTCATTTGAACTCTGAAAGGTGGGTGTGTTTGACTTAGAAAGTATAGAACAACAAACTAAATGATCCGTTTAGAACCCTAAAAGTTTATTGATTCTGTCTTTTGCAATGACAGTAACAAGTTCCATGTGTTTTCTAACAATGCAGTACCATTTTCTACTTTATTTTTTGTATGTTTAGATGTGTAGTCATCACAATTGCCCCTTTCTATCCTGCCAGGTGGCTTCCAGGTCCAGTCACTGAAATGGCACTGCAGCGGAGACTCTCTGATCCTGCTAGGGAAGGAGCAGCTGTGTTTGTGCTACATGGACAACGACCAGGAGGACAAGTAAAACTCACAAATACACAGGTTTCAAGAATAACTGGATTTCAGTTCTGTAGCCTTTGCCGGGAATGTGTTAAAGTGATGACAAAAAGACTCGAGGGTAACACTCCCCCTCCATCTTGCACATGTCGTGCTATAGATGCCCTCAGTAAAGGTTACTGGTATACTCCTTTTCTTATCAAGTAAAAAATGTATGGAAAACCTGCTCTGACATTCCTCCTGAGAGACATAGAATCAACAAATATCACTTTTTGAATGACCAAATGCATACAGAAGCACTAGTTCCAAACACTGTGAGAAGATAGTGGTTTACATAGTTTTATAGATTTCACTGTACATTTAGTTGTAAGTATTTTGTATTAGTTCTACTTTGAAATTGTTTAATTATTTTGAATAAATGTTGTCATAAATAATGCAGCTTACGGTCAGTTACTAAAATGTGTGGATCAAAATCTTTCTACCATTTATTAAATCTGTGTTCTCTGCCCAGGCACTACTAAACATACAGATTAGCAACCATTTTACCTGACTTTAAGAATCACCTGTCTGATGTTTTATTTATGAAGCTTGAATGTTGAGCCATTTTTTTTACATTTATCCGTCTCTATTTTCAAAGCTGACTTTTCATTCTTGTGCTACAAATATTTAAAACAAAAAGTAAGCCTTCACATTTTTGTCATAATCTCTTAATGAAATACTTCAGAATTGGCAATGAAATATTTATTTTTCTACATGAATCCATGAGTTGACTGCATCAAAAATAACAACAGATAAATAAAACTAAATTAGTATTTACAAAGCCATATAGAATATTCCTTTTTAAAAAAACATCTTTCATGCAAACCCAACGTGCAGGGAACATGCACGGGTAAAGACCGGAAAAGGCATTTTGGGACACAATTATTCACTAACATTGTTGAACATGAAAATATGGCCTGTAACCTTTGGTAGCACAACAATGTATTTTAGGTGAGTACAGGAAACAATCCTGTTATCCTATTCATCAGATACAAACAGCATGTTGTTAATGAACCGATGTTTTGTGTGCATGCATTTTACTTTGTAACCCAACCATTATTCCACTGCACAGTTCAGTGCCACTTAGTGCAAATGTGCCTTAAACCAATGCAAGATCTTTAAGTTAAATTACAAACAAACTAACATAAAGACACTGGTTTCAAATTCAAGTTGCATAAAACATCTGTAACATACAAGAACATTTGAGCTGTGTTAGCTAATGCAGCTCTACAAGTAGTAGATGAGTACCCGCTCTGAGCAAAGACATTTAGGTGGATGTAAGCATAGAGAGCACAACATTGGCAAATAAGAGAGAAAGGTCAATGCAATATAAGTATTATCTCAAGTCTCATGGACTCTGAGGAGTGTATTACAACTGTTATCTTCCATACTCAACCCAGAGCTTTTATTTATAGCAGTGTAGATTCTGAAACAGTTTCCCTTTAGTAGCATTTATTAAATAATTAAACTTTAGCCATTGTTTGCTTTCCTATTCTGTAAGGCTACCCAATGTCCCTGTGATCTGAATAATGCAATCCTTGTTGTTTAGAAGCGAGCCCAAACAAACAACATCCTTAACCAAGAAATAACCTGTCTTTTGTTTGCATTTCTCTACCAGAATCTCAATTTTTGACAGTCTCTCAATTAGTGGTTAGACGAAGAGTAAAATACTACAGTAAGCTGAAGAATTGATGCAAGAGCTATGTCCTTCTCACAAATGTTTGCCACACGGACTGTGGGGGGCTAAAAACACGAAAATACAAAGACAGTCCATGCAGTGTTGCACATCATTTACCTACAGTGGGCTGACCTCTTGTCTGCAACACCAACTTGAGGGAGGTGTGGACTTCTCATGGGCTCAGCGTACACACACAGATTGCGTATTACACCGTAGTAAAGCTTCCCTCACACAGGGCAGTGTAACCAGACACAGGGGCTGAACTAGGTTGTAATTTGGAGAAACTGACTTTTAGAAGCCGATCTTGCCCCTGGTTATGGAGTAGCCCAACTTTGCCTCGTTATTGATGAAGGACATAATTCCCAAATAGGTCTCGATGAGTAAGGGTTTCTCCAGGATCAGGACACCATTAGCCCGACCGGGGATGGGGTGCTCCTTGTGGGCTTTCTTCACTGCCTGCACCATCTGGGTTCGGAAGTTGTCCAACTTGGCAAGAAAGAGCAAAAGATCATGAAACCTCAACAAACCTTCCAAAACACAACCTTTCAGAACATTGCCCAAGGTACTGTTGTTGCCTTGCCAGTAAGAAAGGAAACTTTGAATATAACTGTTCATACACAAAGCTGTGTCTCCACTATTTAAAGATATATTAGTAACTGTCTCAAGAGATTACGATTTTTCAGTTGGGCTGTGCCTGTATATGCTCCATATTCTGCGTGAATGAACTGCTGCACCAGTGGTCGCCATTGTTTATCTTGAAATGGGCAGAACGTCAAGCTTTAAATCCTCAGATGTTTCTATCAGGTGATTGCATTGCTGTTTTATTTAGATGAAAGGAATATACCTGGCAGAGGGAGGCCACTTTCTCATCGGCGTGGGCCATGGGGTGCTCAGCGAGGGTGGCGTAGGGCATTTCTGTAGACCAGGGGTTCCAGCGGTTTATGAATGAGGCCCGAGGACGTTTGTCCCACTGAACACGAATCCCGTAGCCTTCTCTCCTTTAAAAAAAACCACATCTGTGTAAGAGCAGTGGAATATTTTAGCATCAGCCAGCTACTTGTGGCACTAGCTCACCAAGCTGAGCGACCTATGTTTAAAAAGAAACCCAGCTTTTTTAAATCAGAAATCATACAGGATATTTTTTCAATGCTCTCATACATTTCTTTATATTCAGATTAACCCTAACTTTTTTTTCCCTACCAGTAAATCATCTTGTTAACCTTTCTATAGATGCATTCAAGCTTATGATTACTAAAAGAACTATACTACCAATTGTAAAAATACTAAACATTCTGTACGATAACTTTTGAAGGATTTCTCATGGTACTTGGAAAGCTAGAGTTCTTTTTAACACTGGCATTAATAACTTAAAAACGTTCTGTTGGAAGTCTTCGAGCATACTTGTTGAGGGATTTGGGTGGGAACTCAAACTCGCCCACTGAGATGGTGTCTACGGCGTTGAGAGAGATCCTGACGACCTGCTGACACAACAGGTTGAGGAAGTCGTACTTGCACACCAGCAGTGACCTGCGCACACACCCAAAACATGTTAGATATCACCTTAATGTCGTGTCATTGTATGTGGTATATTTCCTCAAATATTGGGTCAACAAAATATACTTTTTGACTTACCTATCAGTTATAAGCACTAGTCTTTCCTTCTCATTGTTCCAGTGGTCAATTCTGCAGAACACCCATATCAAATTGACAAATATTCCAGCTGCGTTTTGACAGTTTTAGAACACAATAAGAAACCTGGCCTTCAACTGTTGTCTTTTACGGAGTTATAAAAAGTTAAGAATATAAAATAATTTAAAAAAGAAATCAAGACGTTGGCAGATGTTTGTGATCATGTAAAACATACACCCATGGATTAAACTAAATTAAACATTTAATCTGTAGCTTTTAACAAATCTCCAGCTGATCCCTCTTTGTGTACAGGCACGTGCCCGGATAGACCTCAGAGGGGTCTTCAGCACCTGCCCTTTTGCCCTCCTATTAGGCATGTTTTTTATCTGGCTGTCTGACTATAGTGTGTAGCAGACTAACCGCCGGCCTATGATGCTGCAGGATCTGCATTCTGATTGGCTAAGGCATTTGTGTGATTTACCTTTTACCTGGTTTACCGTTTACATGTGTTCAAACAGAAAAGGATTGGTCATTAATTAACTGTCATGTAGCAGTGCTTGAACCAACCTCCATAATTGGTTTGTTTTTAAATACATTGATTTTAATACCCCTTTTAAAACTGTCACAAAAGTAGTCATATTTATTAAATTAGTAACATAAATGTCAGCGTGCCCTTTTATGAACCTGGGCCCCTGCACCTCTAACATCCTCTGCACGTGCCCGTATGTGTATAATAATTTAAACAGAGGTGGGAGAAGTACTTAGATTTTGTACTTAAGTAAACATAGAAGTACCAGACTGTAATACTCTGTTACAAGTAAAAGTCCTGCATTCAAAAGTTTACTCAAGTACAAGTACAAAGGTAATGGCATCAAAATAAACTTAGTACCAAAAGTAAAAGCACCTATTATGAAGATTTGCCTATTTCAGAATAATATTTTATCAAAACTGGTAAAAATGCAGCACTTAAATGTATTGTTTATAATTCACATTATTAATCCAATTATGTAAAGTAACTAAAGGTACCAAATAAATGTAGTGGAGAAAAAGTACACAATTTGCCTCTGAATGGTAGTGGAGTAGGTTAGAAGTACAAAGTAGCATAACATGGAAATACTCAAGTAGCTTAATGTATCAGGACATTATTTTAGTAAATGTACTTAGTTACTTCCCACCCCTGATTTTAAACATTGCATCGCACACAGCAGCTGATCCAAACACATTGCTGGGTACTTACTCGGCTAGCAGCCAGACGCTGAGCACCTCTCCATCCTCGGAAGGGAGTGCCACGGTCCTGATGTCGCTCACTGCCTGCTCAATGGTACCTGGCTGAGATCAGCATCACACAACTGTCAGTTATCACCCTTTCCTCCCTGCGATGTGCTTGTGCCGCTAGTATACACAGCGTGCTATGATATTGGTCGTGTTTGTTTGACTGTTAAGAGCAGTGTGTTGTAGGGACACCCTGAAAAGAGACATGCGCATACACAAACATCGCTGTAGGTGGAGATGAACTTACCCTAAACACGAAGTAGTCCTTCACTTTCGCTTGCATTGTGGGGTTATGCACATGAAAAGGCGTCAGCGTCTGTAACGGGGGGCAGCAGGCCACGGAGGCTCCGTAACCGAGGCTTCGCCCGGCCTCCGGCGGCGTGAAGGCAACCTCAACCCCCTCCTCGGTTTCTGCAGGGTGGAGGATCGCAGCACTCTCCGCCTCCACGGTGTCGTTCAGCCGGAGCATCGTGCAGCAGTCTCCGCTCCGCGACTATGTGCGCCAAGTGTTAGATTAGACGCTGTCTTTCGGGAGATGAAGACTCACCCATTGCGCACAAATAATGTTTTGATTGTGAGGGCTCGGAGGAAGTGGTGTCTTCTTGCCTCACTTCCCCCCTTTCATTTCCTTCCTCTTAAAGAAACATTACGGGCTCATTACAGAAACAGGTGTTAAGAATGGATGGGCCCCTTTTTTGTAATTATCACTTCAACTATGGCTAAATAATGTTAGTTGGGTGTCAGTATTATTTTTACGCACCCATTTAAAACGTTATTGTGGGATTTTCATGTCTCCATATTTGAAACCCTCAGCCTCCAATTACAGCTTCAAAATACAGGGTTTCTCACAATGGTTGCTTGTAATCGTAATTCAAGCAATTGCCATTAATGATCTAAATCATGAAGTTAGTTTTAGGATTGGCTGTTAGACTCTTTTTATTCAGTTTTACCGAGTGTCAGAAGCCAGAGGATGGTTAGCTGAAATCAGAGCCCTTTGCTCATAACCTTATAGGGTTTCATTAAGGGCCCATCAATAAACTATCAACAAAATCAATGTTATTTTCCCTGCCTCTGTGATAATTTGCTCATGTTGGTGAAAATGATGCCGAAAATACTTAATAACGCATCCTTTTATTTCATTTTAGCCAATATAAATATTGCAATAGAAGATCATTTTAATAACTTTCATGTGACCAATTGACTCCGAATCCATACCAATATTGTATTTTCTTTTATTGGATTTTTCGCTTCTTCTTGCTTCTTGTTCTTATACTTTGATGAAAATGCAGCCGTTTTAATTAAACTCTTGGACTTTTTCAATAGATTCCAAATCATGTGACCTTATTACTCCAAATCAATGCATAATTGACTTAATACACTTTAAACTAGGACGCACATCTTTTAAAAAAGATTTTAGTGTTTTTCAATTTTGTAAAACTTACACAAATTCACGAGTTTTTTGTTTTAAAAGTCTTATTTCTTTTCAATGGCTTTCATGTTTTGTGAATTAATGACACCACATAAATTAAGCATTGTATTATTACTGGACAAATAAGAAAAAACTTTTTTATTGGATTTTAATGACTCTTCTGTTTAATATGAACATGAGCAGTTTCTTTTTTGAAAAGCATCATTTATTTTCAATAGCTTCAATGTCATGTTACTCAAAGACTACAAATCAATGCAGCATTTTCAGTTTGGACTGGATCAGTACACACCTCTTTTTAATAGTCCTCAGAGCTTTTTGTATACGAACATTATTAAATTAAAATGCGCATATATTTAATTGAAAACTACATTGACTCAAAATCAGTTGTATTACTACACTGGACAAGTAAGACACACATTTTATATGAATATTTATGAAAATGTTTGCTTTTTAAAGTATAGCTAACCTTTAAACTTAACCTGCTGGAATTATTGAGGAAGAAAATAAATAAATAAATAAAAGTCGTTTTATAGTCATCTACATTTGTTTTCTGGTAAGTATTTGTTTATCTCAGCCAATGAACAACCTCAGTGAGATTACTTTATCTTACTATGTCATTAATGTTTAAACAAGTACAGATCTAGGTTCAAGTCTTTTATTGTCATATGTACAAAGCTATAGTGTAGTTATGACAATGAAATGATTAGGTCACAGGCTCCTCCGACAGTGCAACACAATAAAACAGTTAATAGTGCAAGTAAATAAAATAAAATAGAATATAATAGAAATCGTGCAGAATAGTCTATAGACAAGTATTTGGAATATTGATATATATCATTTGCAGACAGATTAATGTTATGGATGTTCTTTCAAAAGTTCAGGTGTTTAACAGTCTTATGACCTGTGGGATGAAACTGTCCCTGAGTCTGGTGGTTTTAGTCCTGGTACTGCGCTAACACCTGCCAGACGGCAGCAGATAGAGTTGCAGAGTATCCTGGACTCAGTCCATAAACTACATACTATACTTACTATGTCGTTTTTTTGCATATTTTCGACATACTATATACTATGTCGTTTATTCCGATTTTTTCGCCAATATTATAGAATTTGTTGTTTTTTTGCATATTTTCCTAATAATATCATTTCTGATATTTTCAACTTTCGACTATAATACTTATTTTTCATATATTTTGGACATCCTAAACTATGATGTTTTCTCTTCAAATTTAAATGATGTCATTTCTACAACATTTTCAACATATTATAATATTCAGTTTTTTCAGATATCCTTACATACTAAACATTTTTTCTGATACTTTCGAGGCTTTTATCTTCGTTTTGATTTCCGTTAATATACTATGAATGTTTTTTGGGATACTTTCGACGTACTATACTATTTCATTTGATATTTTGGATATACTATACTATGACTTTAAACAGCCTTTGTTTACTCCGATAGTTAACTTTAGCTTACACTAATGACAATATAAATCCTGCGACACATGCTAGGTATCACTAGATACACAGAAGTTTTCTCTAAGTAATTCCTGACGGAGACCGACAGCTCATAGATACACACTAGACGTGTCATTTAAAAAGCACACAGGTTTTATTGCATATCAATTTCATGTATAAATTCTTCATAGCATTGGAAAGATTACATTTGGTATACATTGCTATTCTACAGAATTAACATCAGAGTCATATCTTTTCAATGAAATTTCTCTAAAGTACATCTTCAATAATCACAAGCATCAAAAGAACTGCAATTTTTCAGAATTGTTCAATATTATTCTACAATCCTTTATTGTTTTTCATTATGTCTTCTCCCCCAAGTCTTTTCTAATGTCTTTCAGAGCCACCTGCCCAAACATCTGTAAGGCAGTCAAGAACTTGAAGTCAAACCTACCAATCTAACCACATGTACAATAAGTGCATCTACGGATTTATTTTTTTATTTTATTTTTTATCATTTTTTGATTTGATACACATTTCACAAATGGACATCATTATGACTGCTAAACACGTCATGCACAATATCTTTTTTTTGTTTGTTGTTTGTTTTCAATAAACATAACAGAGGAGATATACAACTCAGATTCAAACAAAACAAGCACCATCCATTTAAACCCATATTTTTCAATGATTTTTTTCTTCAGACAAATGCACCATTGTTTTTTCATTCTTTAAAATACTATACAGTTAAAAAGAAACAGTAAGTATATTTTTACTTTCTCCTGTAACAGTGGGGGGAAAACAGCAACCATGTTCTATTATGCTGAAAGAATTTTCAGCGACCATCTGCCAGAATACTTTCTGAAGTTGGCAAAATTGAATACTTCAATGCCTTCAATTCCTTAGCTTTACACAGCGCGTACTTATTACAGTAGTCCATGACATGAGTTACTACATATAGTCAACCTTAAAACATAGCAACCGAAGCCTTTATGTTTTATAACCACAACTTGTGAAAACAATGTGTTTACCATGAATTAAATCTCATTCAGTAGAATTTAAAAAAAAAAAGACTTTTGTCTTTAGAAAAATGAGATGATGCAGCAGTCCCAGCATCACACTACCACCTGCTGGCGTGAATACAAATGACAGTGCTTCTGTTTCAATTGTTCTATCTATCCATTTAGGTTGCTCATCTATGCTGAAAATGAAACCAGTCTGAAAATGTTTTCGTGTTCTATGTTTTCTAGAGACCTAAGCCTGATCAGGTTATGGCTTGGACCCACATGGTTTAAGTACGACTTTGAAAAAACAGCATCAGGCCTAGTTGTGAGAGTCCCAGCACACAGGGAGGACCAAGGCAACAACAATCGACAATGACCACCCCCTTGCTCCGGCAGCTATCTACAGTTATCTACATTAAAATGACTCATGCCCTCCATGATACAGCTACCTAGTGGACAACATGGAATGAGTTTTAACTATGATCTCAGAAAACAGTGAATAATTAGTCCAAATCATGATCAAGTGTTTATGTTTTTCCTGTCAAGAATTAACTAGATATCGTTTTGCATGTGTTGGAAAGACAAACTGACATAATTATGTACATTTTAAAACCACCGGTTGTTTAGTGTTGTTGGTTTCATGAGTCCTTGCCTTTATTCTTGCATGATAGGCGATTCTGTTGCTCCAATGCAGCGAAGACCAGATGTTCATGCAGACTTTGTGTTTAGACTTTTAAACCATATAATATAGGAAAACTAATAAAAAACGAATAATGTTTTTTTACCCTGCATGTTTAAAATAAAAAAACTGAGGGGAAAAGGAGCTTGACGTGTTAGAAACTAGTCAGATTCCATAATGCGACAAAGTAATGCCCTTCTCTGACATTCATAGTGAAAGTTGTCCAAGTCTCCTTCTATAATACTCCACCCAATTCAAGGACACACTCAGCATACTGGGTAAATGGTTGAATTGTAACATGAAAAAACTAAACACTGCAGGATGTTACATTGCCAAATAGTATCTGAGCTAACTACAGCTATCTTTCACTATAAATAAAAACAATTAATTCCATGGGTTCTTTCAAATTTTGGCACTCTAACGCATCAAAACCAGAGATTCAGAATCTCCCTCAGGTTCTGATAGGCGTTCATTCCTTCAGTATCAAGAGAAGAGGGATAAAATGACATCTTCATTTTCACTCCTCCAGTCATGACAAAACAACCAAAAATAAATACATACACACACTTCTGAAATCAAATATATAAGAGCGTAATAAGAAAACAAAAACAACGATGACAGCAAATGCAAGCCCCTTGGAAATTAAATGATTGTCAGAGAACAAAACATTTTCTATGGGTTATTTGGCACATACCACTCTTGCTATGAACATCTAGGTTATTTGTACATCATATGACAATATCATACAATTTTGGTCCTTCTCTAAAATAATTATATTAACAATTTTGCACTGTGGTGCCTACAACAAAACAATACTGTGGTATCTAAGAGGAGAGAAAGTGAATAAAATTAACAAATGATGATGAAATAAACAAGCAGAGAAAGACTTTCCTCATTTTTTGAGTATGATTTAAATTCATTTTCAGCATGATCAAATTGGGTAACCAATTACAATGGCTAATGTCCCAGATAGCTCATCAAAATCACCAGTTGCTTTGCACATTTCAACATTGAACGTCATTCTCCATGTAATCATCAAAAATCAACAGTCTACTGGAACTGAAATTTCCTCAAGTAACATTTAGTGCGGTTCTATTGTTGATTCTGCGGTTAAAACTGAAACAAGATCAGTTAATGAGTCGCACGTGATTGGTGGGGGAAACCTGGAGACAATAGTGCACGCGCCCACTATGTTCCAGGTGAAACAGCACCACCATGTGGACATGCAGTGCTGACGCAGTGCTGATGCTGCAGTGCTTGTAGAAGGAGGTGTACACAGACTTTAGAGACGTACTAGTCATTAAGTGTTTTTATGAGAGCCTTATGCAGGGTCTCTGTGGTGCTGGAGTGAGCCTTGTGGACTTGGGGAGGATCAGAGTAATGCAGAGTTTTAATGCTGTTGAGAAGCATTCAACATGTCCTTCACATCAACAGGAGCTTAGCAGTGCTTTCTTTTTGACAGAGTCTTGCGAGACGCCTCATCCAGGGACAATCTCTGTCTCCTTTTCTCTCACTCATACACACACACACACACACACACACACACACACACACACACACACACACACACACACACACACACACACACACACACACACACACACACACACACACACACACACACACACACACACACACACACACATATGCTCTCAAATGAACACACATATGCTCACAAACATATTTTTTCTATCTTAAATGTTTGTGACACTGAATTATTCTCCGGCGTCCACGTTTCTATTACTCATGTTCACTCAGTCTTTTGTTTCCATCCATTTGTGAAACTAACGTTCCTCCTACTCAATCTCCCACTTCGTCTCGCTCACTCTCTCTGGTCTATATGTGGTTGAGCGGGTGAAAGCTGCTCGTCTCAGACGGTCCACCTCCCAAGCTCAGCCAAGCATCCAGAGAGTTCTGGGAGGGCGCGTGCAAAGGGTTGTTCTCCGAGAGGGACAGCATCATTGCATAAGCCTGCACAAGAAGAAAAGTGGATTTTAATTGGAGGAAACTCAACATTTTCAAACACGTCTTTAGAAATAATTATCTTTTCTCAATGATTTTTTCCCCCACACTGATATTTGTATGACCTACTGTGCTAGGACATTAAATTAGTTATACATTGAATACCATACTATGTCCTTTTGTGACATTTGCATGGTGCTAATCCATACAGAGTATCTTTTGACATTGGAATATCAGACAATAAAATGTTCTTTTTGAAAAGACTTTTACTGGCATATTTGAAAATGACTTTTCAAATGACCTAATATAGTTTGACATATTTCCGGAAACACAAAATGGTGATGAGATTTTAAAATGTATGGAAAGGGTCTTAAAAAGACTTAAAAAAGCTATGGAATTTAGTTTCAGGATTCCCGCATTTACCCTGGTAAAGCAGGTCTAATTTAGGTCTTATTCAGAGCTCCATCATTTATTGGTGATGTTTATTGGTCATTAGTCTTGCATTATTGGACTTATTATAAAACTGAAGATCACAGAAAAGATAAAAGCAGTTTACAGGTAAAATGTTAGTAGGTTAGGTGAGAGGAAAAGTGGTGAGGGGGCGGGACGAGAGGCAATTTAATCCAGCTACAGTTACAGCCATTCTTAAATAAATATATTGTTTTAATTTTTTAAGCATCTGAAAACCTAAGAGTCCATCTTATCTCTAAAGCCTCATGAGGCATTTTTTCCTTCCTCATTTCTCTTTAGGACAAGATGTTTTTCTGTCCATCCCTCTTTGAGTGGACATTCAAAAGCCAGTAACATACCTGGGTTTTAGCCTGCCTGTACAATGTCTCTTTCAATGCCTCCGACTCTAGTGAAGTGTTAAATATGTCTTTAACATCAAAGGGTTGCTCGTCACTGGCTGCTTTACGTAACCCCTCCAGGCTCTTGGGAAAGCTGGGGAGACCCTCGAGGTCCAAGAGAGAGCCCTCGTCTATACACCTGCACACCGAGGGGTGAATGAACGGAGGAAATAGGGAAGTATGGATGGGTGGACGAGTAAATGGATGGACGTAAGTAGATTGATGGAGTGTTAATGCGATGGATGGGGGAAGAAAAATGGAAGGAGGAAGTTAAGGTGAAAGAAGAGAAAAGAAGAGGTATGATTAATATAAAAGACAGGTAGAGGAAACAAACTAGGAGAAGGTAAAGAAGAGAAGAGTAGGAGCTGAAGCTGGAACAGTCTTTTTCTAGCTTTGTTTAAGGGAATCTATACATTAAATCCATGTTTTAAGTCTGTAGTATTGGCATTAGCTACAATCAAAAGTAGGTATAACAGGCGGTTTCTGTTAAAAGGTTTGTTAAGTGCTAAATCACCTTATGTGGTGTTCAACTAAATAAATACCTGCGAGTGTGTTCATAGCTCATAGCTAACGGAGCTGCCTCCGTCTCTTCCTCCTCCTCGTCTTCCTCATACACTCCTGTTGTGACAGGAGATGGGGACTCAGGCGCTTCGTCGAGAGACTTCTCTGTCAGGCTGCCTTCCTCCTCTTCCTCATCATCGCCCTCCACTTCCTCGTCCTCCTCCTCCAGACCCTGGAGCCCTAGCTTGGAGTTGGACAAACTGTGGCTGGGTGGGCGTTCCTCCTCGGCTTGGTCTGATCTGCAGAGGGATCAAAGGTCAAAGTAGAGAGGACGTGTGAGTGTTATTGGCAACTGTTTCTTATAAGCTTCCGTATAAGTGACTTTCAGAATAATAAACAGTCATTAGAAGCTCATGTGAAGTTATGTGTATCTGGTCTGCGACAGTCCTTGTCCCTTGTGGAAAGAAAATCTAAAACATTGCTAAAAATGCAAAAGAACGTACATTTTGTCCGAGTCCAAAAAAAGCAACTTACACAGCTCCCTAAGCTTCTTAATAAAAATAAAGACGAATGTGAGCAGTCTACCCAGCCAATCAGGGAGAGTCAAAGGAAAAACACACTATACATCTGAATCATGGGTAGTGTAGTTTTAAAAGAAAGACGCATAGAAGAACTAACAAGGAAGCATATCTCTGGTGCTAATGCATGTTTCAAATGTGTTTTCTTCTTCTACACATTTTTTTTTGGAACCATTTCCTGACTATCTAAAAAACACGACTCATCACAGGCAGAGAGCAAACATAAATAATGTGTTGACAGCAGGCACAGTCCAACTCCACACACACAGTGTTTGTGCCGACAGTCTGCCCGGAGCGCTTTTCAAACGGCCCACACATGATTAATTGGCCCGCTCCTTAGAAACAGGGCAGGAGAGGGCCCGCCCCAGACCGGCTCCTCTGCACCCTTTAATGGTGGAACATACTCTGTGACTGAGGGAAGACGATGGCTGATCTGCAAACAGGCTATCAGCACACCACCATTATGACCTGCCATCTGTACATTTTCCAGCCAGCACTCCAACCTCCCCCCTTCCTCACCCCCAGACCACGATGTCATGGCTCATGATATCATTTCCTCTGGGAAGGCAAATGTACCCCTTCCATTTTTTGCCACACAGTGGACATTTATCAACTCGGACAGGATTACCTTTGGGAAGGGGTGCATAGGGATAGGATTGGGTCACACACAGTGGGTGGGTACATTTGGGTAGGGGGACTTTGGGGGGGGGGGCAAAAAAATTCTTCACTTTCAATCTAGATTAAATATCACCATAATCAAATTGTGGAGCTGTTTGGCAGGGGAAAAGCCCATGCTGTGTACGCAGAAAGAAGCGTAGCTCTGATATAGGGGGCCCTGGGTTTTGTCATTCAGTCTAAACACGTCAGTTGGGTGTTTGTGTTAGCGGGCTGGGGGTATGGATATAGCGGGTGGATGGGGGAAGAGCTCCATCATCAGTGGATCTCCTAAATAAATGCCTCAACCTGAGTCCCCCTCAGGGTCCAGACTGCCAGTCGTTATAGCCCAGACCCAGACAGGGAACCAGCTCCAACTGTAGTTTTATCCAAACCATAGAGCTCCAGCCATGGCCTGGGTCCTCATTCAAGCCCTAATTATGACCTGGAATACGGTCCAGAGGAGACAGATACTCCTAAGAACTGCAACACTGCAATGCTGGAAATGTTTTTCTTCTAAACCCCCTAACTTGTTTGTTTGAAACATCCTACCCTCAGAGCAGAAGTGCTGCCTCAGCATCTCCTCATTGTGTAAACCGGTCGGACAAAGTTTTCATGTGAGAAACAAGAGCCAGCACTTTTATTTTGACTGGCTATGGTGCTGACAAACGAGAGAAACTATTCTGCGCGGGCGGTTAAGAGCGATTACAGATAGTCATCCATGAACATATTTGACTTCAGTCACTCAAAGGGGAAACTAAACAGGAGGCTGTCTGGTGGGAGGACAGAAAGCATTATACTTAGTCTGAATTACAGATATTAAAATGTCAGACCAGCTTGTTGTGGATGAGACTCAGTATTGATCCCAGATGGCAGAGGGGCTTAGTTGCCACTGGGTCTGCTGGCCATAATGCATGTTGACAAGAGAGAGGGGGGTGGAGAAAGAGACGGACAGAAAGTGAGACTACCAGAAAGGAATTCACATTGAGAACTAAAGCAGGACAGAGAGTTTATTGAGTCAAGAATATAGGCAATATTTATTTCTTTTCTGTCATCTGGCCTGAAACTTCCCACCAACTGAGAAACTAAGACAAGTATTTTAGGACTGAACGCAGTGTGCTCAACTCTTCTTCAACTGGACAGGGTGGCTGTTTGTATTAAAGATCCGACAACCATTGTAATCACAAGTTAAGGTTTTAAAAGTGCAACAAAACACACACAGGATGATCACTCCTGCCAGTTACTGGTAAGTAGATTCATTTACCAACGTCATTGTATGACTGTAGATATGAATTTCTATTCTTCCCAATAAACAGCTCTAGCAAAACTTTATACATGGCTTACATTTTGACATATTGAAAACAATTATTATTATAAGCACATTTTAAAGGTGAACTAGAATATTTGTATTTTAAATAAATCAGCATGCATCAAATATACCATATATAATATATTATGTTTATGTGCTACACCTTTTTCCCTCAATGGTCTGCACAAAAAACATCAAAGTGCAAAAGTTAAAATAAATAGTGATTATCAAAAAAACTGCAGGTTGTTTGTTTTATTTAATTTGCAATAGCTTATACAAATTGCAGTTAGATAACTTAGTTGAACCAATTCAAGTTAGTGTCAGTATCTATAGTCAGTATGCAGGTCAATAATGCCTTACAAATGTACCCACCAGAGGGCACTGTGCACCAAGTGTTTGCAGGCTGTATTTGTGTACAAGGCAAAGAAAGGGGTAATAAAAAAAGTAGTGAACTAATGAACTGTTGCTTTAAGTTAACAAGATGTGTTTGTCTCTGTTTTTCCATATCTGTCAGGACGACATTTCCTAATAAGGGAAGAGGTTTAAAATATGTCTTAATAGTGAGGACATTTCGTCGGTTAGTTTTGCTTGACAGTTGGGCTTGCAGTTAGGTTTTAAAATGAGGTTGGGGTAAGAATTAGAGCTTGGCATGAGGTGTAGAGGGTTAGCCTCATGGATCAAATGTAATCACTTTTTTCTTAATACAAATGTGGCCTGTGCGTGCAAGTTTTCTTGTTACCTCTTTTCTGTGGAGCTTGAGGCCTGGTTCATCTCACTGTTGGAAATGAAGTTGCGGATTTCTGAGAAGTATGAGTCCTCCTTTTCATCTAAAAGTGCATGATTTTCTGGCTCGGAGTTTGGAGAGGAGATGGTGGTTCCCAGGTTGGAAAGCATCCCGGACTGTTGGCTCACTGTTGGGGGAAGGAGAGCAGACACACATCAACACACATACAAACACATGGATATGCACAACAACAACAACACACACACAAGGGCGTGATTAAAATGATCATTAGACATACAAAATATATGAATGTAATGAAATTGTTAAGTAAATTGATTTGTACACATTTTTTACATTTTTGTAATAGTTTATAAAATAAAAATTGGGGTTGTTCATTTCTTATGGTGAAAACTTTTTGAAACTGGATAATGTAAACAGTGACCACGGGACAGTGATGGTGTAGTTAACAAATTATAAGTATAGCAGTGTTTGTCTTAAGATGAAGAATGCTTTCTTTGTATATGTTTTTGGGATGTATGATTAATATGTTAAGCGGCAGATGCAATGGCCTAATTTAAGTTAACTATGAATTTGGAATCAGTGTTCACTGTTCTAATCAAAGAAACATTAAGAAACGCAACATCTGGGCACCCTGCCATAGAAACTTTGGTATGAACCGCCTGATATTAACACACTCAAGTAAAAAACTGGCATCCCTTGGTATTTTAGTAAGAAATTGTGTATTGTTGGCAATGTACAGCTCCACTAAGTTATAATATGTTGCATGAAGTGGAAACCAAGCGTATTGCCTTGTTTTTTATTAGGTTGTCATTCCCAATTTAAGAAAGCACAACTGTGAAGCATGGACTATTACATGTAAATTCTCAAATACGCAATCATTCAGTCAACAACTCTCTGTTCCTTCCATATTCAGTGGCACGCTGGAGGCTGTTTTTGGCAACACAGTAGGAAACGTAAGTGTGAATTCTTTAATTAAGTGGTTTTCCTACTTTATATCAATCACAAGTTAAAGTGAAGATTTAGAATTTTCCAAACGGGTAATATGAGCCATTCATTCAAACCATTAGCGTAACACAAAATATCAAGTCCCTGTTAAATAACTATGTTTCAGTTCTCACAGCCTCCCTTTTCTCAGAGAAAACTGAGTAAAATATGTTGAAAACTGACCAGGAATGTTCTCATGCTCGTGCTTCTTGAGATGGCGGTCGAGGTTGGTTTGCTGACCAAAGCAGCGGTTGCACAGGTGACACTTGAAGGGTTTCTCCTTGTTATGGATGTTGCGGACGTGGCGTTGAAGATTGGATGAGATGCTGAATGAGCGGTCACAGTATTTACATCTGTCAAAGGAGAGCAGAAGGTTGGGAAGGTGGGTTTAAATAAGCATGGCATATTAAGCAGGGACAGTATTAATGGAGATGTTACTATCCACCTACTGAGGTAAACAAAATGTTCATTAAGGCTAACCTTATTTCTTAAGAAAATGTATTCTAAATCATTGGGATCACGGTCAAGTAAGTAAAATGAATCTAGAAATTGATTCAGCCAAGCCAAAACAAAACAAAAGCAGAGCACAGCAAAGGGATGTCAAGTTTGGAGAGTAGGTGCAATACAAAGGAAAACACATTGTCTGTAGCATTTCAGAAGGATCAAAGAGTAGAATACCTGTAGGGTTGTTCCCCTGTGTGTGTCCGCAAGTGTCTTGTGAGGTTTGCCGAACGAGGAAAGATTTTCCCACAGTACCTGGAGGGCAGAATGGACAAAAATGGTAGTTGAGTATTCAGTGTATTTTATTGTCATTGCAAACATTTGATGCAGTTTCCATGTATGTAAAAACACACAGAAACACTGTGAATAATGCGCCAAACTACAAGGCACTTACCTGCAGGAGTAACGCTCTTTGCCTTTGCGGAGGATGGCGTCTGAGAGGGAAGGTGGAGGGGAGCGGAAATTGAACAGTGGATGAGCGTGTTGAAGCGAATTGTGTGGCATGTCCAGCTTCAGAGCACCAAAGCTCTCCAGCTTCTCTGTCATGTTCTCCATGGCTGACATCTGAGGAGATGGCAGAAAACAAAAAAGGGAGCAGGTGAGATCAAATATTTTCAAATGTATATATATAATATATATATATAATACATATATACAGTGTGTGTGTGTGTGTGTGTGTGTGTGTGT